AGTAATCTCAATTTCCAGCAGGAACTTGACTTCACCCATGCTCGTCAAGGTGAATGCATTTTTAAGCTTTTCTGCAATATTGGTACACAGAGTTGTCGGTCCCATCAACAGGAGGTCATCCACGTAGACACTAACATCATCGTCACATCCCCGTCGTCGTTGTACATAGCGTAGAGGCCATAGTCACTGTTCAAACGGGTGAGACCCAGCTTCTCAAGTAGTGTATGCAACGTCTTGTTCCATACTGCAGGTGCGTGTTTCAAGCCGTAGAGAGACTTAATGAGTTGGCAGACCATTTGCCCACCGTTTTCTTCGAACCCCACATGCTGCTCCATGTAAATGAGCTCAGAAAGTAGACCGTACAAGAACGCAGTCTTGACGTCGTACTGTAAGACAAGCCAGCCACGCTTCACAGCATACAGGATGACCGCTCTGATGGTCTCAAACCGAATAACAGGCGCAAATGTCTCCACATAGTCAACTCCATACTTCTGCTTGAAGCCATGGATCACCAGCCGGGCTTTGAACCGCTGGATTCGCCCTTCAGCATCTCTCTTGACCGCAAAGACCCATCGGTTTGTGATAACAGTCTGATTCTTGGTCTTGACTCGTGCAACAAGCTTCCAAGTTCCATGTGCGCGCAATGATGACAGCTCATCCTCCATCGCTGCTTTCCACTCCGGCCAATACTTACTCGCCTTTGCTTGCTTGTAGGTATTAGGAATTGGAATTTCCGTCGTCGTGTTCATCACAGAACCGACCACATAGTCATTGAGACGAGCCGGTAGCTTTCTCACTCTGCGAGGGCTTGAGCTTCGTACCTCCGCTGAAGGGGAGCTCGCACATCGTGGCTGGTACTCGTTGCTGGCGTCCTGCTCACTGCTTGAAGAGACTTGCCGCTTTCGCTCTTTCTTCTTCTTGTTTGTCACAGCCGCTGGCTGCAACTCAGTTCCGGGTGTTGCTGCAACAACCCCCACTGGCTCCGCATTCTCACCGATTTCCTTTTCAGGAGGCAGATTGGTTGATTTGGTAGCCGCAGGCACGTCAGGTGCGCTACCTGCTTCGGGAAATAGTCGGGCTTCAAGTGTAGATGTGATAGGCACCACCGGAATCACATCCACAAGCTCATAATCCCCACTGAGATACATGTTCGGCAGTAGCCGACGGATGTAGTCATTCGCAACAGTAAACTTCTTATGAAAATATACGTTCCCACTGCGTCGAGTAGTCACGGCTCCAGTTCGCTGGTCCATCAACTTGTATCCAGTCGTAGTAGTACTATAGCCCAGGAAAATCGAGTGCACAGACCGCGGGTCCAGATTTGCTCGCGTTGGACGGGTCTCAGGAGGTGCGTACGCATGTACCAAGCAGCCCCAGGTTCGTAGGTGTCGCAGCACCGGTGCTGTGCCGAACAGCAGTTCATGGGGCGACTTCCCGTTCAATAGAGCTGTCGAAAGGAGGTTCAGTGTGTCTATAATGTGTAGAGTCGCTTCACCCCACAACAGGTTCGGTAGATTGGTTGCATGAAGTACTGCTCGTAGCCTTGGAAGCACTATACCATTGGCCCGTTCCACAATCCCATTCTCTTCCGGGGAGTGAGCATTCGTAGTCTTAAACTCAATCCCCTTGCTCGAGCAGAACTGTTCCAGGTAGGTGTTCACGAATTCTCCACCTTGATCTGAGTGTATCAACGTTACTGAATGTCCTGCACGCTTGAACTGAGTGTTGAGCCTCAATACCAGTTCTTCGATAAGTTTGGCTGCTTCGTCTTTACGCTTCAGCAGATAACACCACTTGTATCGTTGCCTCATCTACTACCAGCATGAAATCTTTTCGCCAGCTGCCGTGTCTTGACTGATACCGCAGAGATCAACAGATAGCTTTTCCAGCGGGTTCTTCCGCCGCCGTGGCCCACGCTTGTAAGTGGTACGCTTGAATTTAGCCGATAAACAAGGAACGCATTCATAGTCCTTCAACGACTGCATGTTAAAGTTAAAGCCAAAGTCGGCCTTGTCCTTAGCCAACTCCTTGATGAGCTTCATGTTCACGTGTCCAAAGCGATTGTGCAGCAATCCCATCACATCCTTGCGCTCTTCAACAGCACCGACCAATCGCACAGACCGCTTCGCACGCAGGCGGTATAGCAGGTCATGATGGTCGAAGCGCAGCTTCAACCCATCCTTGCAGAGTCACGCAGTGCTCTGGTCTTCATTATAGACAAGCTTAAACCCACAGGCGCGCATGTACCCTAGGCTTATCAGGTTCACGTGGGCATTAGGAGAGTAGTGGACATTGTCCAGGCGGCGAGGCTCCCACTTGCCCGTGACTCCGTTTTCGACACGGAGCACCACACTTCCGCTTGCTTGCATGACTTCTGACTGACCGCAGGGGATCATCACGCTACTGGAAGTTCCATGCTCCACATGCGAAAATCAAGTCAAATCTCCGCACAGATTAACTTGCGATCCACTATCGAGAAGCCATTTTAATTTCATCTGCCTGCAAGACAGGGACATGCTTGTCGTCTCCAACTACTGCATTCACTGCGTAATCAGGAGACGCTGGAGCTGTAGGAGAGTACGTAGGGCTGCGAACAACGGGGCTTGACGTAGGACTCGTGGGTGAGTACTGTGGCGACGCAGCACGCACAGTAACCCCACCAGCTCCATTGTTTCGGCGATGGAGCTGCTGTTCCAATTGCTCCACTGCTTGTAACCCAAGTACCGAACGCACGTCGTTCAGCGAAATCAATCGATCATCATTCTTAATTCCACCAACTGCGTGCTCTGCATGTTCATCACGAGATGTCATGCACTCTACCACCCTGTCACGCGAGACAGGCGGTTCATGTTGCCGGAGAATAGCTCCACTCAGAGAGCACACTTGTTCGTCACCTTGATTGGTTTGGGCTTGACGACGTCCTTGGCTGCACTCAGCATCACCGCGCCAGTGGCCCTTCTCACCACAAGCATTGCACTTCGAGTTCTTTTTCTTTTTCGCAATCCATTCTGCATTAGACTTGCCAGTGTTTGTAGATGCAGCACTTGAGCCACGGTTGCGACCATATTTGCCGCCGCGCTGGCGGCGAGGACCCTTTTCACTATTGCCGTGCTGCTGCACAGAATTTGCTTGGGGTTTACTGGTCAGGCCACGGCTGTTCGCAGCGCTGCTGCTTGATTCACGCACTCGCTGGTTGCGTTGTATTTCTGCAATCTCCAGACGGCCACATGCGTCGCGCACCGTATATTTGTAGTCTGAATCACGGCGTAGCTTCTTCGTAACTTCATCTGCAATCGTTGGGTAGACTGCGTGAGCCTTGGTCAGCATAATCTTAGCGAGTCGCGAGTCTGAGATGGGGTCATTATTTTCCGCTAGTCCGCGCTGCATCTTCAGTAGGTCGGCGATGTAGTCTCGCACGGGCTCGTCTGGGCGAAGCATTTGCCCGTAGATTCGCTCCCAAATCAGCACCGTGTTTACCCCTCGCCCTTGGCCGAAATCCTCAGCTAACACCCGCCATAGCTCGACAGGGTCAGCCTGGTTGAGTAGCGGATAAGGGTTTCATCAGAGATGGCCGAGACAAGAAGTCCATTTGCTTTGCGATATCTGCTATTCCAGCAGTCCTTCACGCTAGAAGACCAGTTGTCGTTGAAGGGTTCCTTGCCTAGGACAAGCTAGGCCATGTTTGAGACGTTTAGACCTGTAAGCACTCGTAGGCGCCAAGCGGGATAATCCTCCGACTTGGAGAGCTTTTTGTCCACCTACAGGGTCACTACGGCTGCTACTCGATTCAATTTGTCCTCAGGTTCAGTGTCAGCTTTTCTGCGGCTCGTGGAGCTATTTCCAAAGGTGTCTTCTCGTCGAGCTGGGGGAGAAGGCGATCGATCTTTCAACGAGCGAATGGTCAGTTGCCAGTTTGCTGTCTCCTTCTCTTCTGCGGGTTTGGCCAATGAGCGTTGCCCATCTTTTGATTCCGCCAATGGAAATACAGAATCTTTGACTGTCACAGGTACCCGAGAGTGACGGTCACCAATCGTCGGATTAGAATTTTTAGTCAAATCCCCTTTTTCTTCAGAGTCGGCGCTATTTGACCCCGAGGGCACCGCTCCTGTTGGAGTCTGGTTGTCGCCTTCGCGTCGCTGCTCCGCCCCACTGGAACGTTTGTTGTCTTGGCTTGCTTCTGCTGTTGGGCTCATAGCCTGAGACGTGATGTGTGCCTTGTAGTTGCCGTCAGCGTGACGTAGGCTCCAGCAGCACGTATACTTAAAGGAAGAGCAAGATAGACGAGGTGGAAGGCAGGGAGTTGCCTGGCAGAATGCCGCGGCGGGAACAAGGTGAGGAGCTTGAGTACTCGCTGGTACGATTGGAAGTGAAAGCATAGCTGCGCCGCAGCCCGCTCCTCAACCTTGGGACCCATGCTTTATTTAGTGAGCAGTTGCTAACCACTCTTGTTGTCTTATATAGCTGCAGGTGCTGGTGCTGAGGACTAGGGCGGTTGCAACCGCCATGAGAGGCTGCGCCTCTCACCATCGCAGGAGGACTATGGAGTACAATCGCGTACGCGACCGTGTGGCCGCTGCTACACGTCGGTGCCAGCACTGCTCGCTGGCAGTCTGGCACTGGTACACTCTGGTACCTCACACGCTCTTCCAGATTATGCGTCAGTTTGAAGTAGCGCCTCGCCATAGCTTTCATGGCATACTGAAGCAAAATTTAGCAGCAATAAAGCGTAGAAAACAGAAGTAAAATAAGTTTGAAAAAATGCTTTAAAAAATACATTTTTAGCTTTTTCCAAAAAAAATTAAATTTATAAATATGCAGTTTTGGTAGGCTTAGCTATCGTCACCGATCGTGTTCTTCTAGAGGGACTTCTTACCACTTACAAATCACCTCAGTTCTTGTACCCCTCTCGTCGTGCGCTCGATCCTCCCTCGAGCAACACAGACTGAGCTTTTGACGTGGCACCTCCAAAGCGCGGCTTCCTCACCAACAGGCCGATAGCCATGTCGTCGTCCATCTCGCAGTTCTACATCCTGTCGACACGAGGAGACACCATCATCTTCAGCGACTTCCGAGGCGACGTGGAGAGCAACTCGGCCGAGATTTTCTTCCGCAAAGTCAAATTCTGGGAAAAGGGCGACGCACCCCCGACGTTCAACGTGGACGGTGTCAACTATCTGTTCGTCAAGAAGAACGGACTGTACTTTGTGGCCACCACACGCTGCAATGTGAGTCCCAGCTACATTCTGGAGCTTCTCACGCGTCTGTGCCGCGTGTTCAAAGACTACTGCGGCGTGTTGAGTGAGGAGACGCTGCGTAAGAACTTCATTCTGTGCTACGAGTTGTTGGACGAGACACTGGACTACGGCTTCGCTCAGGACACGAGCACTGAGGGCCTCAAGGTGCACGTACACAACGAGGCTATCCTTGTGGGCGACGCTGTGCTGTCCAAGACCAAGGCCGGCTCCAAATTCATGAACCGCAGCTCCAATATCAAGGCCGCCAGCGCTGTCAAGAAGCCTGTGGCTACAGCTGGACAGAGCTCCAAGAAACAGGACGAGAACGAGCTCTTCTGCGACATCTTGGAGCGCCTGAACGTCGTCTTCTCCTCTGGCGGACAGATGCTCAACGCCTCCATCGAAGGACGTATCCAGCTCAAGAGCTACTTGTCCGGCAACCCCGAACTGCGTCTCGCACTCAATGAAGATCTGGTTATCGGCAACACTGGCGCCAGACAATACGGACAGGTGGTGCTGGACGACTGCAATTTCCACGACTGCGTGCAGCTGGACGAGTTCGAGCGCGACCGTGTGCTCATCTTCCAGCCTCCCGATGGCGAGTTTACCGTCATTAACTACCGAATTACGGGCGACTTCCGTGCTCCTTTCCGTATCTTCCCGTTCGTGGAGGAACTGTCGCCCACGAAGATCGAGATGGTGCTCAAGATCCGCGCCGATATGCCCGAGAACAACTACGGCGCCAACGTGATCATCCGCTTCCCCGTGCCACAGTCCACGGTGGCGGTTTCCTGTGATATTGGCAAGAGCGCGGCAGGTCAGCTGGCAGAGTACCGAGAGAACGAGAACCAGGTGCGTTGGGCCATCAAACGCTTCACGGGCGGCACAGAACTCACGCTGCGAGCCAAGATTACGTTGGGGCAGCCCAGTCCACACGTGCGGCGTGAGATTGGCCCTGTGAGCATGAACTTTGAGATCCCCATGTACAATACCTCGAGTCTGCAGGTGCGCTATCTGCGTATCCCGGAGCACGCGCGTCATCCCAACTACACGTACAAGCGGTGGGTGCGCTATGTGACGCAGTCCAGTTCTTACGTGTGCAGGATTTAAGCCAGTCAGGACTAGCGAGGAAGTTGACGGGCACAGAGAATTTACGGGGACGTAACGCGTTAGGTAGCCCAGCAGCGGGATTTTAGACACACCTTGGACGCATTAAAAGCTTGGTAGAAGGCGACGAAAAACACCCGCAAAAAAGGGATCAGACTCCACCCCCATAAAGCACCTCGAGAAAAGGAACTGCGTGTTTGTGTGTGTTTTGTTCAGCCTTCATCGCATCGCTAGTTTGTTCATGAAGCAAGAGATATCTAACGTGTTTTTGATTCGAGCATTTACAGCACACGTACACGCACCTTTCAGATGCTCTACATGCGTGTCTACTGCTCGGTCTTCTCAGTCTTCTTGAAGGCCTCCTCTGACCAGTCTGAGCTGAGTTCGAGTGCCGTCTGCGTAAGGTCGCGCAGGATATCGCAGATCCGCTTGTGGTTAAGCACGCGCTTGTTGTAGCGGTCCTCGGCGATCTTGATCATCTTCTTGTTGGCGTTGTAGCGTGGGCCAGCGAGCTGTGCGACGATGGCCTTGGCCTCCTTGTTAAGGCCCTTGAAGCAGGCCATAGGCACCTCCATAATCACCTTGGTGTCGTACGTGGTCTTGTCGTCCACGAAAAGCCGCTCGTCAAAGTCCTCCAGCGGGCAGTTGAGCGTCATCTTGATAGGCGTCCCGTCGAACAGCGGGTGGATCTGCGTCTGCCACGACAAGTCCAGGTACGGCGTAAAGTCGGCGAAAATCTGCAGCTTCTCCACCTCGTGCTTCATCTCGTTGTCAAAGTCTGCGGGGTAGTCCACATCCCAGTACGAAGGGTACTCGAACTCCTCAAGTGGTGTCGTCTTCTCAACGTCCTCTCCTGAGAACTGGAACGTCTTTTTCTTGCGAAATTTGGGCGCAGCAGGCTTAACGGCTTTGGACTCGTCCGCTGTCGCCAGGAAGCGCAGCGACTGCGTTGGCTGGCGACGCAGCAAGCTCTTCACGCGCGCCAAGTTTCTTGCCAGCATCGCGTCTAAAGTCAACTTGGATGTGAACCACACGCTCGCTTTCCTGTGAAATATGATGATGATTCTTTAGAAAATGATATCAGATACAACGGGGCTTAGTGGTCATTGTAGAATTTATCGTGTGGTTTGTATGCACGAAGACATTGGCGCTGGCGGTCCTGTGCGGTGGACTGGTGGCGTTGTTGACGTCCTGTGCGATACGGAAGGCGGTCATGCGTTGGAGCAGGCGGGGGATCGATGGGGGTCCTCTATTGGGGCGAATTGAAATGACAGAAATCGGGGGAGTTTGTCGCCCCCAGTGCTAGCGTTCTTCCCCTTGGGAATGTAACACCGGGATCGCGGGATCCATGATCAATTATCCATAAGGTGATGAAGGTATTCGGCCTCCTCTCCCTCACGCCTCCTTGTTAATATTATGAGGGGCAAGCCTCTTCTTCGCTCCGCTACTGGTGGACACTTATCCTGCTGGCCAAAGTTATGCCCGAAGGAATAAAAGCCACCAACATACTGACCTACTTCTTGCGATTATTGCTGCTATCTGCTGTTAGCTGGAAGTGTAGGCGATCGACATTGCTATTCAGTTGGGCTTCATGCAAACCAGCGAGCTTGTTGGCCATCATACCGGTAGCTTGCAATGTGTATACCAAGACAGCAATACTCGGCAATATGTACCGGTATTAGCATTTTGTCAAAACTTAGATGCAATGAAGCCAACAACAGATGACAGATTCCCGCACTGCATGACATGTAGTAAATGTACGTGTAGGCAAAGGACGACTCTCTGGCGGAGAGTCTCCGCTACCTGTTTGGTGAACCACTATTGGTAGCAATAATCGGGAATAGAACTGAGTCTCAGCACCCTGAATCAGGGACAGCATCGAGTCTGATGCCGTTCCTTAATGCCACTTAGCTACGGTGTTGTTCAGACAAACAGTCGATCTGCCAGTCGCTGCTTACCTGGTATCAAAAGTTTTGGTATTTTGTTGGTCCTGTTTTGATTCAAAACAGCAGCAAGTTTTCTTTCTCCCTCTACTTAATGACATCATCGATGGGTCAGATTCTGACTGTCACAATACCATGGCGTTGCCATCGAGCCCGCTGTTGGTCAAGAGCCGCGCGCTCATTGACTCGCTAGGCTACGTGGATACCGAGTACAACTCGCCAGCGAGTCAACAGCAGGTGCAGGCGCAGATCCGCGCGGAGATGTCGACATTCTCCCCGCCGCAGGACAAATACTTGGCCTACCTGCCGTCGTACTCGCCCACTTTTGGTGGTAGAGCGCGACTGCAAACCGAGTTCAAGCGCGTGGCTGCCAACGTGCCGCTGGACGCCATCGATATGAACCGGTATCAAGTCAAAGAGCCTACGGGCAAGCACAGTAAGAACTTGGAGTCCTGGGAGAACGCTGTCAAGCAGCTCCAAGTGGCTGTGGAACACCAGAGCAACCGGTAGAACACTAAAAATGATCTCAAATGGTAGAACGAAGTAGAACGCTAATGTTTTGCCTCCTGCTAACTGTAGGGTGACAAATTTGGAGCTCCAGCAGGGCTACGGTACAAAGCTGGCCAAGGTGCGCGCGGCCGTTCTGGATGGCGTGAACGCGCAGTACGAGCGCACATTAAAGGAATTAAAGGCGGCCTCAGACAAGATTAACTTGGCTCGACAGCAAGACCAGGCACGCAACGCTGCCAAGCTACACAAATACCAGAGCCGATACTATGAGCTGCTCTCCAAGAACGCGGCCATTAAGCGGGCGTGCGTCGAGCAGGAGCGACAACAGAAAAGGATCAAGACGACGTAAGCGGTCGATGTCTTTTGTTGTCTGCAACAGGTTATACTGCCATTTTAACTAAAGGAACCTGGTGCATTCGTTGAGGTTATTACAATTGGATTTCTTAGCATTTTACGTTTCTTAAAATGAATTAAAGGCGAAAAAAGAAGAAACCATGCACACCTTGACGACTACAGTAGAGGAAAAAAGCTGCGTGGCCGGATGCATATTACACAGGAAGGCAGCTAGACCGCCCAGTTCCGGGCCAATCGCGCCCACCCACTCTAAATCGCAGTTGCCGTCGCAATCGAAGGCGCCGTCGTCGCCGCCGTCTCCGTCGTCTCCGTCGTCGCAGTTGTCGAAGTTGTCGCAGCAGCAGAGCCTGAAGCCGCGGTGGATGCAGCCGTCGGAGTGGTTGCCGCGGCCGTGGAGCTTGATGAGTCGGTCGTTGAGTCCGTCGTGATGGTAGCGCTAGTACTGCCAGATCCGGATGTAGTAATCGTTGTAATCTTCGAGAAACACGGGAACGAGCCACTACCCTTCAAGTTCTGCAGACCAGTGGAAAAATCCTTGTTATACGCATCCCACGACGAGCTCGTATACAGACCGTATTGCCACGGATCTTTAGGCTTGTACTCGTCGTTGAAGTCGTAGGATCCGTCCGGATTGATAGCCCACGCGAAGCCGCCGGTCATGTTCATTTCGTTAGCGTACTCAATGAGGATCTCGATCACACGCGTGCTCGTAAGACCAGGCAGCAGCTCTGCAGCGCCGTAAATACCACCGAACTCACCGTAGAACGTGGGCACACCAGCCTCCGTCACGGCGTTACCGAACGCGTTGTCCAGCACGGCGGTAACAGCAGCCTTAAGTAACGTATTGCCCTCGGTCGTGTTAGGGTACTCAGTTACAGATACAGTGTCGCCACTCGAAGATTGCTTCTTGAAGAAATACGAAGATGGGTACACACTGGGAGAATAGAAATGCGGCGCAAACACAACCTTGCCGTCCGTCTTAAGTGCGATGGGATTCACACTGGCGTTCTGTAGACTGGCACCGTACCAATCGTTGTACGTGACGTTCGCGCCGTTGATCTCTGCCACTGTATTGGTGGCGTAGTTGCCCTCGACCACGATGAGCCAGTTGGGACAGATAGCAAGGATCTTGTCTCCAATAGTCTCGACGGCACGGGGCCAGTTGACGTCCGACTCGCAGTATTCGTCGGTATCGTCCGCGGGCCAGCAGCCACCGACAGGCTCGTTCTTGAGATCGATACCGATAATATTGTACTCGAGATCGGTGCACAGTTCGGACGCCAGAGTCTCGAACATCTTGTAGATGGTGGCAATAGGGTAGTCATCAGTGAACCACAAGTGCTCGGACGTGTCGTCCGTGAAGTTCGGGTCGATCTTGTGGATGTCGAGCAGCACGCCAATCTGCTGCTTACCGAGACCCTGTACGACCTTCTTGATCATGTCGATGTATGTGTCAACGTTGAGGTCGGTGTCCAGACTGTTGACGAAGAGTCTCGTGTTGGGCGCCGAGTTGTCGATGATCATCTGGGCGTTCAGTGGCAGACGGACGGCGTTAAAGCCGTTGTCCGACAGATTAGCCGCGATGTCGTCCAGGTAACTCTGTTTGGTAGCGAGACCGTGTGGGACGCCTTCAGCGTTCTCCATTCCACTCCAATTAATGCCAGTGAACACGAGCTGCTCCTTCTCTCCAGTCTTGCTGTCTGTGGCGTAAATCTTGCCGTCCGCTGCGGTGTAATCCGGCAGCAAACAGCTCTTGACGCTCGTGACTTTCCTCTCCCTGTCCACTTCAGTTGCCGCTTCGGTCAGGGACTGCTGCGTCTGTGCGCCATTAAACTCCTCAACGCCAAAGTAGGTGATTAAGCCGAGTGCTACGGCCGTGATCAATAGCAAGAACAGCGCGCCGGGCCACACGACCTTTCGACCCGTGTACGTCTTGGTGGCTCCTCCTGCAGCCGCGCCTGTGTCGTCTAGCTGACCCACAGCAATATCGTGGTGAATGGTTGTGCTGGGGCGAGCCGCCATCGTGGGGCGCATCATGGGCACGTCGCTACCAGTGTCATTAGGACCCAGGTAGCTGCCGTAAATCTCCTCCTCCGACGTGTCCCTCCACACATTCGAGTTCGTGCGCTCGCCCGCGTTCTCCCCGATGGGCGAGTTCCCCCCGTACATTGCGCTAGCTAGAGTACCGTTGGCAGACAGATGCGGGAATGCTCGAGAGCGACGTTGCGACAGATTTGTTCGTGCGTTCCTTTGGTCCTAATAACGGTTAATGATGGGATTGGTGGAAATCTTTTTCAAGCTAGAGGATTGGTGGAAAATCAACAATTTTGTGTGTCTTTGGTGTTGAGCTTGTGCCAGACGCACGCACGTTCAGGTCTGAACAGATGGTTTTGCGCTGAATACCCTGGTGATGGCTGTTTGCAAGACAACTGGCAACGAGGTTGCTGTTGGCTCTGCTATAATAGCAGTGCTAGATAATAGTGAACGTGTATTATCGTTAGTAGGCCCGCTATCGATGACAGCTCAGGACGTGAGACCGATATTGCTGGACGCGAAGGTGGCTACGCTGGTGATTGGAAGGATTGAAATCAGGAGGCCGTCACGATTAAACGACGGAATCAATGTGGCGCCAAAAATCTGCGACTTGTGAGCCAGAGATAGCTACAAGGGTGCCGATGACAAAATACCTCTCAATAAAAAACATTATTTGCGCAGCACGAAGGCGTAGCTGTACTTTTAAATAAACGAATGAGTTCGCTGTCAAGGAAGGCAAAAATTGGTGAGGGATTGCGGGTCGCAAGAAAGTGAGCTGCTAACGTATTAAATGAGCAGCAAAATTTGCCCATTTTTTTAGTTTTGAAACTCGTTGCAGCGTTTTCAAAGTCCACTACTCCTGGAGTAGTACTCCATTCCCTTTCCGAGGTTTGCCAACGCCAAACTCCCTCGACGTGTCTCAAATAATAATGCTAATAACGTATTGTCAGGTTTCTCGTCGTTGAGAAGTCACCGTATCACAGCAAAGTACTGGTGAGGTAGGTAAGGGGATCTTCGGTAAGAATCTCATTCAAGGTGAAGACGTTGCGCAATGTAAAATCATGAAATTTTTGATTTTAAAAGGATCCTGTTTTCTATTGTACATGCGGTAGTTGCCGAGGTGCTCGGCGCTTAATGGCAGGGGTACCTCCTCGTCTTTCTGCAGATGTTGCTTTGAAGGTTTGGAGCGATGAGCGTACTGGGCCATTTGGAGCAGTTCTTGCACGCATGGCATCGACTGAGCCATTTGGAGCAGTTCTTGCACGCATGGCATCGACTGAGCCTGTATAATTTAACCGTTCTTTCTGTTGACGTTGTTGTTGCTGTGAAGAGCTCACCCGCTCCATCGGAGTAGGCATTAAACTCGGTACACTCACGCACCGGGATATTTCCTGGTGTCGCTCTGAAGATCGAATAAAAACTTTCGTGGGTGTCGGAGCTATTCGTGACGAGCCTCCAAGTGCCAGTGGCGTCGCAGGACTCCACACATTCGTTGCCAGCTTCCACTCTTCGAACGAGAGCAGTGTAGGCATTGTCAAGCTGCTGGGGGACCCATTTCCTTGAAATTTACTTCTTTTGGTTGGTGATTCTATAGAATTTAGTTCGGGGGACTGTACACGTAGTAGATCAGCAGATCCTTCGCTGTAGAGACGTCGAGAGCTTGATAGTACTGCTGAGGCACTTTTCGACATCAGTGTCTTGACCTGCATCTGCAATTCGTCTACTTTGCTCTTAAGATCGTCAATGATACACATGGCATCACGTTCTCGTTCTTGGCTCAACGCGCTTTGCTTCCAGGCATGCTCGCATTCGTCTCGATAGAATACGAGGCTTTTGATCTCATCTGCGTGCACTTGTTCGGTCGTTTTAATCCGGAGCGCACAAACCACAAGTTCGTTCTTCATCTGCAGACATTTATCCATGAGACGTCGCTGCAGCCGCATATTCTCGCGCAACTTCACGCTCAACTGCGTGTATTCCGTTCGAAAGCGGTCAAACAGCCCCACAAGCTTCCGTTTACGGGTCGACTCATCCACGCTTTCAGCTTCCAGCACCGCCAGCAGTTCACGCTCTGTCTCTTCGTATCGCTGGCGTCTTTCGCGATCTCCTTCGTCTTCAATCAGGTCGGACGTCATTTTTCAGCAACAAGCCAAAAGCCACACGTAAACTTTTAGAGCATCTAAAAATACTGTGACTCAAAAACTAAAATAAATTGTACTACGTAGTAGTGCGTTTTAAACTGGTGTTGCTTTGGTATTATATTTCTACCACACAACGCACTTGTTGCTTGGGTTCATTGTGGCATTGGCGGGGCAGTTGAAGGCTGCAGCAAACGCGGCGCTGTTCATCGCGGCGCCATTCACACGCACGTCGCCGACTGCGTGCACGTTCGTAATGAACGAGTCTACCGCCATCTCGTCGCGTTCTTTGCCGCACCAGGTCTGCGCATACGACACAAAGAAGAGCTGGTCGTCGTCTGTACTGTTGCCATCGTTGCTTGAGGCTGACACGCGGTTTCTATAGGCGTTGAAGGCCACATGTAAACCGCCGTTATCAGCGATATTTTCTCCAAGTGTTTTCATACCGTCCACAGGAATCAGCTGCACTCCGTCCTCAGCTTCCGTGTAGAACGAACTGTACTGGTCGACTAGACACTGCGCACGGGTCTTAAACTCTGTGATCGTAGTTTCAGTCCACCACGAGTTCCAGTTGCCTTTGGCGTCGAATTTGGAGCCCATCGTGTCGAACCCGTGGGTGATTTCATGTCCCGCGACTACACCTAACGAGCCAAAGATCTGAGCTGCGGTGTTTCTTGGGTCGAAGAATGGCTGCTCCATTATGCCTGCGGGGAACACGATCTGGTTCGTGTAGGGCGTGTAGTACGCGTTGACGGATGCAGCACTCATCCCCCATTCCCTACGATCTATATCAGCTCCAATGGCCCACGTGAGAGCTACATACTGAGCTGTGTAGATCAGATCGACATTGTCGAAAAAGGCGGTGGGGTTTAACTTGGCCAGACCTTCAGCTTCTTTCTGCAGCTGTGCATCGTCAGGCGCCACATACATGACATCGAGTGTGTCGAGCTTCGACAAGGCACTGGTTCGCGTCTGCTCGTCCAGCCAGTCCAGTGTCTTGATATTGTGAGCCATCGCATCCAGGATCTCCTCCAGCATGGCGATAAAAGTGTCTCCAGTTGTCTTGATGTCGTCTCGATGAGCCACATACGCAGCACCTGCGTGTGCAGGAAGCAGATCAACTACATGTGCCACACAAATCCTCTCCAGAGACAACGAAGCCTCAGCGCCGAGCATCACCCCACGGAAGAACTTGACGTGGGCTTCCACGAACGAGTCACTTAAGAACGTGGCAAAGTTGTTGATGTACGCGAAGGCCACATACACTTTGAGTGCGTCTAACGAGAGCAACGAGGCCAACTCTTCAGCTTTTTCAAAGTACGAAATACTGAGTAAAGCGACTTCCGAGTCTTCGGTTAGTTCCGGAGCATCGTCCAGCAGCTGCATGCCTTCTGCGTACGCTCCAAACACGAGCGGATAGTATTCTGCAGCGTCTTTATAAGCGAACAAATAGTACATGTCGACACTCACGGGATCCAGCTCGGCGTAGTTCTGCAACTCGATTAACTGCTTCTCCACACTCAGCACCACATCTCCGTAGTCGTCGTACTCACTTGATTCCAGTTGAAACCCCGTCAGATTGAGTATCGTAGACGCGTAATCCGACAGGTTTGTCTCGACATACGTGAGCACTTGAGGGTTCTCGTAGTATTCGTCGTCCAAGGTCAGCTCTGCATGAGACACCCACAGGATGTTGCGACTGGAGTTCTGTAGACTCGAGGCTGGATGCAGGTTCGTGATAAAATCTGCGCCTGTACGTGCGAGTTGCCCTGCCACTCGGAAGAGTTCTTGCTTGGTCTGCGCCTTCACTATGCTCTCCAGTCCGCTCTGTAGAGGCTTTGCTCCAAGCGCATTGCGTGCGTCCATGTCCATGCAAGAAGCGAAGAGAGCCCCCGTTAACGACGTCGAGTCATTGGCGATTGCTTGTAAAATGGTCTCGTCCATGCCGTCTTGAGCCATATCGAACGAGTACTCTACGATGGACTTGTCTGCTTCGATTTCGTGCTTTGCGAGCCAACCACCGCATGAAAACTGGTAGAAATCGTCGCAGGGGTCGACGGATGTGTCAACGAGGGACGCTACGTTATCGGGAAGGCTGAAGGAGGCGGCGAGAGGTGGTGCCAGCAGTAACGCACACCCGGCGATAGAGGAGCGCTTCATGAGGATGTGTACAGGTCGGCAAATATTGAAATGAAGCAGGAAGCGCAATACACAACGCGCAAGTGACCACCTTCGGCAAATAGCTACTCGACGAGTTCTGATTTTTTGCCAGTAGATACTTGACATGTTCTGATTTTACAAAACAAGGTTGGTTTTATGGGTTAAGACGGCGGAAGCTGGAACATGTACTTGAAGCTAAACATTAAAACAGCAAACTCGACATTCAAAGCCACGGCGCTTTTTTTGGATGTTGCGAGCTCTTCTTCGTGGAGAAAACTGAAGTGAACCATTTTTGAATCGACGAACCAATTGCTCCCCACATCGTTGACTGCAGGCGTTCTGAGCACAACAAAGTTAGTCGGTTTTAATCGTATAAATACGATTTCAATCGTGTCATGTCAGCCCACGTACCTTTACGACGCTGCTCAGCTCTTTCCTTTTTCCGTCTAGCCATTCGGTTGCGATAGTGTTTGCCTTTTGGGAGCTCTAAGAGCACGTGGAATTCATTATTCCAGATATCTTGTCTCTCACACAAGTTAAAATCACTAAGTGGGCGTTGCGGATCCGTGATTTTGTCATCGCTCAGAAGCTCCATGAATGTATCCGACATCGGCCCACGTTTCAGTACTTGCTGCACATCTGGATCCCATCTCTGCAGCCATTTGCCGTTCCTGGTCGCCAAGTAAAATGTTAACTCATCTGCAGGATACTTAATGCGGTTGAGGTCAGTTGTAAGTCGAAGACGGTTTTGTCGTCTTCGATTGGAAACGAAAGAGGTTTGCCACCGTTGATCTGAATACCCCATACTTGCTTCATTCTTGAGAAAGTCTACAAATGAATTCTTGGCAGCTAGGAAAGTCTTAGCCGTCGCTTGATAGATGGTTTCTTTAACTCAGAAAATGACTGATACTTTAATGATTGACGACCAGCTAAACACTTCAAAACACCAGGAATCGCATCAATCTCAAATTACTATTTCTGCCAAAGTTTCTGTTTGACCCGAAAGGGTCTAAATCCCGATTCAAATGACGGAAATTCGACTTGCTTAAGATCCTCTTTCTAACATTGTGCTCCGCAGAGTTCGACTCCGATGCTATTTGCTGTCACAAGTCGCTTATTAAATAGATGAAAGCAAGAGTTGGCGCCTCTTCTCATTCCTAATAAAAGATATACAGTAAGTGCCTCTTGTCGCCTTTCTGAGTGTGGAAGTGATGTCAGTAGTGGAACTGCACGGAATATACTGAGAGCATATCAACGCAGCTATAGTGCGTTCAGCTCGGATTTTTCATGGTTCTTTAATTGAACGTGCATTCCGCACAAAAAGGATCCGCACTATGGATTGGTGTATTTTAATGATAGGCTAAGTCCTCGACAAAGCTAGAACCCATTTAAGTGCGATCTGGAGCATTTTTTCCGTGGATTGAATTTCTGTTTTTTTTTTATTATTGTGACTTCCAGCTAAACTTGGCGTTTTGGATCAATTCTGTGACGGGGTCACACACTAGAGGAAGTTATCTTCCGAGAGTTTACAAACTCTCAGTGAACGCAGTTCACAGGTCCCCTCTTTGATTAAAGAGAGCGAAGTGACCTAAATAAGGTAGATTGTAAACTGAGTATATTTATAGGTAGGTTAAGTTTGGGTTTAATACAAACTATTAGTTACCTATAGAAATGCAGTGTCATTTAACCAATGGTTGGCTTTGAGCGACCTTGGTACCTTGTACCAAATATCCCGGAGCATGACGTGTCATACACCTGAAGTGTGAAGTGTCACACTTCATGTAGCCAGGGTACACTTAGGGCTACGTACCCCGTTACAAATTCAATACTGGTATCAATGAGTCACTCGCATACAAATTCCTTGTTATTTGAAACGGATCACCGACCAATATGGCATAGATACAAGTAGTTAAAAAACTAGGCCGTGTTCGTTGAGCAGATAATACATATTATCAGCAAGATAATATGTATTGTACCCAACAAACACGTTGCGTCATAATGCGTATTATAACCCGATAATATGCGTTTTCTCAGATTAGCTTGATGGGTGATCTGAAGAATCCATACTGAGATTATGTGGTGAAGGGTCGCCATTCGGCAAAACGCATTCGAGGGAGAAGATCCCAAAGACGTAAGACTCGATGAAGTTTACTTGGAATCTCGACATGGAGAAACAGCTCCTCGAGCTGGTGCTGACGGCAAGAGCGGGTTCCGGGAAGAGCCTAAAGAAAAAAGCATGGCACAGCATTGATGAAGCTATGACAGCTCGCTTTACTCGAGATATGCAAGTCAAGTGAATCTTTTCATTGTTTTTTTGCCGACTGTTCTAACTCGCTGATCAAGTAGGAAAGTGCCAGTCTAAGTACCAGCGTCTGATGGCTCAGTACAGGACAGACCGCTTCACCAGTAATCTCGGTGGGGCTGGTGTTGACTCAAAGTCGCACAGGGTGCTGCTTGAGGACAGTGTCTGGAGCGATCTGATCGCCAAGGCAGACGCAAATACGGGGAGCACTTACCGACAACTTCAGAGGACCGGATTTGCACACGCTGACGTGTGCCCTGCTTGCTGGTGATTCTGTAGCTACCGGGGAGGAAGGTGAATCTATCACGAACTTTGCCGCAGAGGGTCTAAATAAAGCTGCAGAATCTTCAAGCGGGCCTGCTGAGCAGAGTAGCGGCAACAGTTCGCTCGCAAGTGATGAGGAGAAACGCCAGCTCTCTCGAAGTCACCAGCAACGTTCTAGCAAGGTGAAGAGGCTACGAGACAAAGCAGTGGCAGCTGCCACGGCAACTACAGCAGCGAATGATAGGGCGTTGGAGGCATTCATTGCTGCATGCAACAGGAATAAGCAGTTTTTCAAAAAGCGGACCAAACAGATTGAACAAATTGGTACGCGCACGCGACTCGAGGCATTGTCAATCAACAGCAGGACCTTGCGATTTTGAACATCCATCTTTAAGTTGAAGCTTTGTACCCACTCGGAGAATATTCGGGCTGTCATACATGTTTTTTTGCTATTGTAGTACTGAACAGCCTTGCCTTTTAGCGCATGAGCACTTCCGCCAATAAAACAACGTGGGTTATCTGCTGTGCCAATCACGACCGGGTCTAACTTGTCCGTACCCGTTGCATTACAACAGAATGCTTTTGTGATACGAGCTTTATCGCGTTTCTTTCCTTTTCTGCTCATAGTTCCCAATGTCTGGTTGGGAGCTAGACGATAGAAAAACGCACTCTCATCAAACTTGTAGATGTCGTCGGGGTTGTAGTGCCAAGTCACTTCCTGCAGTGTGTAGCGCGCCGAGCGCACCTTCTAGCCCGCTAGAGCTGTCAGCCTCCCCTTGCAAACGCTTCGAAGCGATGACATTGCGGGTTTTGAGCTTCTGTAGCCACCCGCTACTTAGTCGTAGCTGATCATCGCCGATACCAAGACCGGCTTTTATATCTCCACCTTTAAAGAGTAATATGTCGTCTGAGATGATATTGTCCTGCTCACTGCGCTGAAAAAAATCGACGAGTTGACATTCTAACTCAGAGAACTTCACGCGGCGGCGCCGCGTAGTAGCCGCATTTGCGCTGCCGAAATGTGCTGGTTGTTTGTAGCGGATGCGTCGTACGGTACTGTCACTCACCGACCTTTTGAAGGCTGAACGTATATACGCGAGCAGCTCGACATTCTTCAACTGTGGATTGCGCTGGGACCTTAAGCATACTTGTAGCTTCTCGTCTAGAGTCAGCGAAGCTGAGTGTGGCGGTGTCATGGTGCGAGCGGATATTATAAAAGGAAGATTGACGAGATTCAGCTGGAATTTAAAAGTGAGAAGGATTCAATGACTGGCGAACGGTCACCTGTCCAGATAGAGAGTTTTACCTCCGGAATTGACTGTCATTTAGCGAATAGAGAGGGTTTTAGTCAATTAGAGGGACTGGTCTAATGAACCTCACATAGTCTCGTTTGCTTTGAGATACTACATTCAAGCTAAGAGCTAGTGGTCAGTTATAGAGGCTCAAATAAGATGTGACTGTAGCAATGAGTACAAATATCTTAAGCTGGGCAAGTTACGCGTTAATATTCCATCACTGCCGACTCGGATTTTCCAGAAAATGTGTATCTTCTTCTAAAATTTCAGGTACTTTGCGCTTAAAAAAAGACAAAACTTTTATTGTAATACGTCGAGCTAACAATGAGGAATTGTGTCAAAGTTTGAGGTTTTGAAAACACAAGCTTAATATAAAAATCAAGTATTAAACATGTGCAGAAAAACCGTTTTCCGTCGATACAACGCATCCACATTCTTGAATGGACGGCGTTAGAGTCCAGGTTTCCCAGATATCTATTTAGTGATTAGGTTTACTCAGATGCAGGTATCTCCAGGTTCACGTCCAGTACTCCTTCAGGTTTCGACTTCTGGCAGGTAATTTATGAAATAAATTCCCGTCCAAAGATTACGCAGGTATCGAGAGCCTGAATACCTGGAATAGTCATGTGTGCGCTACTTGGGCAAAAGTCGAAGTGATGAAGAACTTGTCTTGTCGGCATGGCAAACCCACGGGGAGTCAAGAGCTTGAATGGGGATCTTCTTGTCAGCAGCCAGGTATTGGCCAGGTAAATGCCATGTATCTGTCAAGTTACCTCTTACCACGACACATGCTGCAGCTACGAACGACGTTTGATCTTCAGAATTTCGAGTAGCATTGCCCAACGTAACTTCGTAATGCCAGAAAAGGTTACATCACTTGGCGCCTCGCTGGACACGCACTTCCACATGTGGAGACACACAAGAACTCCACAACTATCACCACCTTTTTGAACAGGTTCTTTAACGTGATTCACCTGGAACACTTCCTGCATTGCCGATGCAACCTCGCTCGTAATGTCTTCAAGACGTTTAACGTTCTTGGCAGAATTCATGCTGTCGTACAGGTGAATCACCTTTGAGCTGCCGTCGATCACTAAGCAGCCCCAGTGAACTCCCTCAAAATTGACAGGCACCAACACAAACTGACAAAAGGCTACAGAAGCGCAAATCTCCATACGTTTCTTCTCCGGAAGCACCGGCTCCACACTAGCTGGTTTTTTTCTTGGTTGCTTCTTAAGTGGAGGCATCGTCACCGTGGCATTGTTCTTGTAGCGCTGTAGAGAGACCAAAAAGGCGTGCATGGCGCCATCGTTGAGCCACATGGATCCTCGAACACAATAGATGTCGGCCATTGTGATGTCAATTTCGAAACCTGGCAAAGTTTTGTACGGCCAGGTATTCAGAATTTCATCAACTGCAGCAACCACTGGAGGTGTTTCGTCCACAAGTTGTTTCACCTCGTTATTAAGCCAAGTGCATAATGCAATGCCACGTTGGCACGTGGTCTGCAACTTCCACAGCCACTTTATGTTTTCCACCTGCTCTCTGGTATTGGCACCTATAGTCTCAATTGCCACCACATAGTCATCTGAATCTCCACTTTCCCCGTCACTATCGATCTGATACTCAATCTGCTTTCCACGTAACCTTTCACGCAGTTGTTCAAGTGCACGGTCGATCGTCGGCTCAGGGAGCCTGTAGCGCACATTATCGGGAGCAAAATTTGGGTCCACAGACCACGAAAGTGGTTTCCCAACGGCTTTTCCGAGCACCTGAAAAGTCACAAGGAACGACCCGATCTCACGCAGGCCCGGCTGGATCTCTTTCAGTGAAGCAACCACTTCACACACATCTCTTTCGCGCAGCAAACCACGCAACTTGATACCTTGATTGTATTCTTTTTTCAAGTCAGACTTAGCTTTCGCTCGCACTTTCTTACGATTCAGTCGAGGGCGCCCGACTGGCACAATCCTTCGTTCAACTTAATATTTAGAGGAGCACTATCTCCTGACGCGCGCGAAAGTCGTTCAGCCGCTACAACTGGCTGTTCGAGCGATTGTTGAGTAGGCGGTACTTCATCGGGATCATCAGCCCTTTCACTGACAGCATCATTACCACTGACATCACCACCACCGGAAATACCACCACCGGAATCACCAGCACCAGAATCACCAGCACCGGAACCATCTTCACAAAATTCCCCACAGCTTGGGTCACCGCTACGGCCAGCACATTTACATGCATCTCCACCTCTATCTCCATCTCCTTCAGTTTGACCATGGTGTTCAATATTGCCACGGGATTGAGGTGGCGGAATCTCAACATGTCCTTGCCGCAAATTATGCCACCATTCGTCAAACTGAGACATTGCACTGTCAAACTCGACGTCGTCAAACTGTGCTAGCTCTCCACGGATCCGACGAAATGCTTGCTGGGCACGCCGATACTTCTCTTGCTCAGGTCGTTTCTCTGCAGAGACCTGTGGCTGCTTAAAAACCTTGGCCACGAACGGTTTGGCCACTGACGATAAATCTTGCGTAGACAAACGACTCTGTCCATACCATCTAGAGAGAGAAATACAGTCACAGCCAATAAAACATGGTTAATATCTGGATAATACCTGTACATTTCATTCAAAACCTGGATGAAACATGGAAATACATGGACATACCTGGAACCAATTGCAGCGTACGGAACCACGAACGGACTGTCTGTTGACTTCCTGTAGACCATTGCATGTCGGCACGGAAGCTTCATAGTCTGCGCGAGCTCGCAGTCACACTGCCAGGACTCCTGTTCCAGCATGTATTATTGCTCCTCCCGCCGTAAAGTCACCGTATCTCCGTTGTCTACGATAGCGTAACTGCTCGCCACGTCCTGGTCCACGGCAACATCATATTGTGTCTTTATAGCAGCAGCTCCCCATCGCGTCGTCATGCCCAGCACAACGTTCATCTCCTCCGTGTATGTAGTATCACGTAACGTTCCTGGCATCTCCACCTTGGCGTAGTATTCCTCCTCCTTTCGCCGCTGGTATGATAGTAGCGCTTTTAAGCTGGAATTCATAGAGAAATGGCCTTTGATCTGCTGCTTCACTTTGCCGAACAAGCTCTCTACACGGCTGTTTGTGTGATTCTGAAAGTGAGGCAAAGCAACACGATACGCCATGACCCACATGTCCTTGCAATTTTCCCAATTCTTTTGAAAAAAATTCCACAAATCTTGCCGTCCTCCTCTAAGCGACATACACTTAAACTCGTCACGGTGAGTCACGTAATCTGCTTCCGTCCTAGCGTAGGTCATGTTCGTGATCGAGTGTTTCATTTGGGCCAGCACGTCCGAA